CAATCCCAAGAAGACACTTACTCTTAGTCGTCAGGTCTTGTTTTGCACATTCTCCTTCTGCAATTGATACATCATCAATGGCAATGTCACCTTCTATGCCAGGACCTCGAATACCTTCAAAAATGAGCTACAAAAATGAATGAAACAAACCTAAATGTGGAGTTTTGATGTGCAAATCAATTTTAGTTGAGAAATCGAGGAGACAAATGTAAACTTGGCAATAATCCTGACATCTTTTATTCCTGACATTCTTCAAAATTGTTACTTACAAAAACATAAATTTCCATAACAAAACCAACAATGGGATCTTCCTTAAGCAGTATTAGTTTTTCACATAAAAAGTTCTGTGTTGATTTTAAAACAATAATACATTTATTTGAATGATACAATAAAAACAAAGCTACAAATCCTCTTATAATTTTCAGAGGTGAAGAAAAATTTTTTATTTGATCAATCTTTCTCTGAAATAGATTCCTTCCAGTTTTGTCTAAACATAATTCAGAACATTAGTTTTCTAGAAATATTTTTTGGAATGAATCAATTATAGGTTCCTTACAATACTATGTCTAATGAAGCCCAGAACAAAAATATATCATCTTCAAATTGTTTGAGTTCTAGCAAATAAGTTGAATAGATTCCTCATATTCCCTAGATTTACCTTGTGATTTACCTCTATGATTTCACTTTTGATATTCTATATTTAAAACTTTTAGATATTTATGAGTCTATTTAGGTTGGATGTCTCATCATAGACCTTTGAATTCCCAGTATCAGCAACAGCAGTGGGTACTGAGGCTTAGTTCACAAATATTGAAAGAATTAATGAATAAGATTGGACTCCCTTTATTACTAAATTCTGGATACAATGACAATATAAGGAAAATTAGCAAATTTATATCTTCTTTATAACCCCTAAATTATTCATGCTCCCAGAAAAATCTTTTAATCCTTTTGATACTAAAAAGCAATGTGTACATTTAATGTTTTATATTCCTAGAAACATTTTTACATGTAAAAATAAAATATCTAGTTTGGTCTTTCTAAAGAAAAATTAGTTTGATAAAGAGCTGCTTCTAATATCAAGCAGTTATGTGTATTTTAAATAAAATTTCCAGTCTTATTTCATTATAACAAATGTGAGTAAAGGTTTATTTTTATCAATGTCAAAATTTTTGTTTATGTGTTTTATCTGTCTTTGCAAGCATCTCCTTAAAGACAAATTTCAGGTGATTTTTCAGAGAATTTAAGCTACTTTTGAGAAATTGATTCATTGTTCTATGATATGCTATCATAATTTTATCAATGGAAATCTCCAAGTAGTAAGCAGAGACATTAGGTGTCACCTTTTGTATTGAGTCCTCATCTTCCACTTAAATATAGCCCATAACACAAAGAATAATTTTCATGATTTGATAGGAGAGAAAGATTTGAGAAGTTTTATTAATATATTAAGAGTTTCATTTGGGTAGACGCCTACTAGTAGTGGGATTGCTGGATTAAATGGTATTTCTGTTTTTAGTTCTTTGAGGTATCTCCAAATTACTTTCCACAGAGGTTGTACTAATTTGCAGTCCCACCAGCAGTGTAAGAGTGTTCCTATCTCCTGTATCCATGCCAGCATTTGTTGTTTTGTGACTTTT